CAAGTCAACCCGTTGGTGTGACGAACAATCAAAAAACTAGAAAACCGTACTTCATGCCCTACATGAGCTTGGAAGCTGTGACGAGAGGCTTGGCCAATGGTGATTTAGTAAAGGTGAGTACTTTTTAGCCCCAATTCCTTGTTTTCTTTCCCATCTTGTTTGCAACTGTTGAACTTTTTGGCTTGTCAGAGAACGCGTTTTTTTACGACGTCGCATCATTTTTTTCCTTTTTTTCCAAACACAGGATCCATTCTAAATAGATAAAAAAGAACGTCTTCTACGTTTACAGTTGCTGAATCCCTTAAGGACGGCGTTGGCAGTAATGATCGAATAACTTAGTATTGCTACTCAAACGAGATCGGATTACTAGCGTTGCAGGAAAATTCCCAAAACTGCATTGTAATTGTTCGATGGTCTGTGCACCAAGCATACATTTGAACTTTTGCTTCTTGCTTTTCAAAGTTTTCTGGTTCTGCATATATGTGTACAATCAACTCTTGAAAGAACAACGCTCACTTTTATGGGTATGGGGCGACTTTTCTCACGCTCTCGTCTCATAGTCGTCTGCACCCGCATCGCCCAATGCCTGCAATTGTAGATGATATCCTACTTGTGGGGTCAATTATAACTCACTTCACGTTGGTCATAAATTCGAATGGTGTCATACACATGGTGTAGATGCACTGCACACCAAATTTAGAGGGAACGGGATCTTTACAGCCCAGGATTATATAGTGTCGAAGCGAATACGATGTCAGGCGAAATTCGATAGGAAAAATCTTTGGATTTAGCGGGTGTTCATGTTCTGCGACCGCTTAATCTCTAGCCAGCCGTTTGGACAATATCTCAATTGAATGAGCATTACAGGGATCACTTCGTGTTAATCAACGCAATTATGAAGAATCTTACGTAGACAACCCAGACGGTGATGATCAACTTGATCTTCTTATACTCGGAGTACATGATCGTAATCGCGCTTTACATGGAGATGTTGTTGTTGTGCGCATTAAGGAGAGAATGAACTGGGTGGTGAGCTGTGAATGCGATTAGTATCAACAACATCAATGCTGTATGGGGTCTTCGATCAGATCCGCGAAAATCTTTACCAAGCATGGCGAGCTGGACATTTGAATGTATCGAGAGAAGATAATGGTCAACCGATCACGATTCCACCAGTCGCAGCTCCGAAACCTGATGACTTGGTCGAGGTTGGTTGACTTAAAACTACTTTCTTTCTAAAAAGTTCT